CCTGCTTGCAGGCACTTTAATCTGCTGAGCTATTTGGCTGGCCCTACTTTTCTTTCTTTTAAAGGAGTACTGAGGGTTGAACCCAGGGCTTTCATACTAGATATATCTCAGCCGTTTTCTATTTTTTTTTTTTTTTTGAGACAAAGTCTTGTCTAAAAATACATTTCAGGCTGCCCCTAAACTCACTATATAGTTCAGGCTAGCCTCAAATTTGTATTAATCCTCCTGCCTCAGCCTCCCAGTGCTGTGATTATAGGCATGCACCACTATGCCCAGCATCCTATCCCTTCTTAACATTTTATTTTAAATTGTCACTAAATTGCTCAGGCTGGGCTTGAACCTGTGATCTTCTTGCCTCAGCCTCTCAGAGTGCTGGGATTATAGGTGTGCATCACCATCCCCAGCTAACTGTTAACTTCTTGCCCCTTAAGTATTGGGCCCCTTCTAGTACCAACACCCCTTCTATTTTCCATCTGGTATGGAGCCAGAGATTCATGTTACTAGAATTGTACATAAACAAAAGCCTTGGGCTTTAAGCACAAGGGTTTAGAGAGAGTTATCTCAGCTATGTGAGCATTTTCCAGCTTCTTCTAGATTGGTGCTTCAAGCTCACATAGCTGAAGGTTCTAGAAAACTGAAGTAATCTGGACTCAAAATCTGGGCCGTCTGGACCAACTTGGATAAATTATTCTCTGGTCCTCAGGAATGGGTGGCAATATCCAGATTTCCAGAGTGGTCCTGAGGCTTCTAAGTGAGAAAGTTCACACGGGGCCACCATGTGCGGTGCACTCAGAAAGAAGCTATGATGAGAGCCAGGTTGGGACCATCTGGACCAGGCTGGGGCACCTGTGTCTCTAGGCTCTCTCAGGAGCTCTGTCTGTCCAGCCCCACGTGGGTGGCCTGGCAGCAAATACAGCTCCCAGGGCAGCTCATTATTATTGGTCTTCAAACAGAAGCTAATAAATAGACCAACACACTGAGCGCTCACAGAAGGAGTCCAAGAATATCTCAGAGAAATCGCAACTTCAATACAGACTTGGATGAAGCCATAACAACAAACATGCACTCTGGCTAGCAGACCAGATATATCTGATTTAGCAAAAAGAAGAAAGATGCCATGAAGCCGAACGCTCCTGCCGTTTGATTAGGCAAGAACCTTACAAGGCCATATGCGGAAGCGGTAATTAGGCCTGTGGCTTTGGAAGAGAAACACGGAAGATTATACAATGCCAAAGGGAAGCCAAGCATCCATCCAGGAGCTGGCGGTGGAGTGGGCTGCACGGGTCCCTGGAGGATGGCTTCCTACCACTCACAGGCACAGAAAACGGCACCTTCAGGTTCTGTTGCCTAAGTGGGAGGATTTTATTTATTTATTTATTTGTATAATAGCAGGTATGGCTGATTCCTAAAAGGGAATATCATTAAGCTATGTCAGGCCCACCTCTACTTGTTCATAAACACTCCCTCCCAGAGGTAGCTGCGTGATGCTTTTTGTGTTCAGAAGGCACCCACAGCCTCACCGAAGCGTCCTTCTCAGGGGAGTGTGAGGCAGGGCTTGATTCTCTTTTATGGAGGACCACTTTTGTGGGGGCCCCGCCTGGCCTGCCTGTGGATGGATAGATGGAGTTCTCGGAGTCTGCCTGGCTAAGCCCTCCTAAATCAGTGGACTGGCTGCATTGTTTCTGCGGCTGCTGTTCCGGAGGGGGTGGCCATACGAGACTCTGTGACAGCAAGCGCTGCTGGATGTGTCCCTGCTTGGACTATCTGCCGTCCTGGGTTATGACAGCCCCTGCACTCACTGTAACCAGTGTGACTTGGCTATTTGAGCACTAGCCACGACCCTGTGATGGAGAAGGCGCCCCTCTCCTCAAGACCCCTGCTAAACTTTCTTTCTTTTTTTTTTCTTTTTTTTTTTGGTGGAACTGGGGATTGAACTCAGGCCCTCATGCTTGCCAGGGAAGCGCTTGTTCTACTGAGCCATCTCCCCGGCCCCCTTGCTAAACTCTTGGCTCCTCTCCCCACAACCCACACCCGCTCCCCCAGGGTGGGCAGCCCCCTCCCCACCCACATCCTTGCCTCCAGCAGGGTGACAGTGATCATGAACCAGGGCGGTGGGCAGCAGGTATAGCTGTCGTAGTACCACTTGCGGTCAATCTCGCGAGGCAGGGTCTCATAAGCCACGTGGCGGATCAGGCGCTGCGACAGGCTCAGGCCCTTCTCCTCCAGGAGGGCCTTGCTGCTCAGCCTGCGGTTGCCCTGCAGGATGGCCTGGCGGAAGCTGTTGGAACGTTTGTTGCTCATCTGTGCAGAAATGGGGTGGGGACAGGGTCAGAGCTGGGGCCTTGGGGAGCCCTCCGTTCTCTCCCCAGCCACTGTGTCCCTTTGACCAGAGTGAACCCCACATGTCCCTGTCTTCTGTAACAGTCAATAAGAAGCAACATCCCCTGCACTCTTAGGGTGTCAGGCAGTCTAAGCGCTTCACGGGGGTCTACCTGTGGGACTACGACATCTCCATTCTACCAGATGGGGGTGTGAGGCCCAGGAAGTTTTAGAGACCAACCAAGTTCAGATTCAGAGCCTGCCTCTGTTTCCAGCCAGCTGCTTCTGTCCACTCAGGCACCACAATTCACTGAGCAACTCCTAAGTGTCAGGCAGGTTACTGGACACAGGGGACACAGTGGTGCCCAGGAGGGAGCAGTCACCAGCCTTCACAGTTCAGAGTGACAGCTGCTGTGCTAGCATAGCAGGTGGGGGAAACCCGATCTGTCCACGGCCACCAGCATCCTTCCTGGAGGAGACGTCTGCGTGAGAAGCACAGGATGGAGGTAGGGGGAAGTGTCCACAGACTACTGCTTGGGAGGATTTGGGGAGTTTGCTTAGCTGGCTCTGCAGGCAGGTGGGCCAAGCAGGGAGCACCAGGTCAAACCAGGAGCCATGAGCAGGCAGGCCTGGCTCAGCACAGGGTCCAAGCCCTGGAGGAAGAGAGCAGCGAGAGGACCTGGTTCAGTCCAGGCCAGGGTGCAGCCCGCACTGCGAAGTCCATCTTTCCTCCATGGCCACAGCTTGCCTCCTCTGTCAGTCCCAAGGCCACCCCTGAGGCAGGATGTCTCAGATGGGCGCTTGCAGCTGCCCCCCCATCCGCTCCACGCCCACACAGCTGCGAGCTGCTATTTCTCAGGGGCTTGGAGCTCATGTGCCCTGTGGGCATCCGTGGGTCCAACTGTCAGAGGACTTTGTAGCTACTTCTTCCATCTTCTGCCCCCGCCCTTGGCCGGCACAGCACACAGGCTCACACATGCTGCCAGCAGAGAGGTGGCAGCCAGCGCAGGGTGGGCTTGGCACACCGAGAGCCGTGTCGGGCACTGCCGTAACCACACTCCTGGGGCTCGTGGAGCTCTCTGGGGAGGCAAGGGTGAACAGCAGCAAGAGCGGGCATCATCTTCATTATCTGGTTCATGGTATTATTCCCACAGCATAAGTACGGGAGCTGAGGCTTGGAAATGAGTTCCCAAGGGACCCACAGCAAATCGGTCAGGATTAAAATCCACATCTGGCTGGGCGTGGAGGTATGTCCCTATAATCCCAGCATTCTGGAGACTGAAGCAGGAGGATGACTGTAAGTTTAAAGCAGCCTGGTCTACAAAGTGAGCTAAGGCCAACCTAAACTGTATAGTAAAGCCTTGTCTCTAAAAGACAAATAAATAAGGGCTGGCCAAATAGCTCGGTGGATTAAAGTGCCTGCAAGGAGGCCTGCTGTGCCGGCCGCGCCCCAGGGGTGTGCTGAGACAGCAATTGAGACTGGGCATGGTGATGTGCGCCTGTAATCCCAGCACTTGGGAAGCTGTAAACAGACAGGTCACCACAAGTCCTATCTAGTAGTGAGACCTTGAACAACCTGTAGACCCTTCTCTAAAAGACAAATAAATAAAGAAAGAAAAATAAAAGATTTTTTAAAATTTATTTTTATTTTTTTGGCAGAACTGGGGATTGAACTCAGGCCCTTGTGTTTGCCAGGGAAGCACTTATGCCACTGAGCCATCTCCCCGGCCCCAGAAAAATAAAAGATTGATAGACAGATAGGATTATTTTAAAATCCACATCTGCCTGACTCCATAGCCCATGCTACCCACATGGAGCATCTATTTTATTCTATTTTATTTTATTTTAGAGACAATGTCTTGCTGTACCAGCCATGCCCAGCTTCATATGGAACATTTATGCCAGAAAGAGTCTTCCTGCAAGCCTTGGTAAACAAAGCCCAAGCCTGGTTAATTATTGAAACTGTCCTATCAATTTGATTTGAAACTGTCTCATTGCTATTTGTTTCTCAATAAAATTATGGAAAACAAAAACAAAGCCTAAGCCTGATCTCAGCCCCTCACCCAGGCATTCCTGCACACAACCTGTACGCTCAGGCAGGACAACCTTCTCTGCTTAGCTGTGTGCAATGGGTAATAGGGGAGGCCTGGGGGGCTGTAGACAAGTCTGATTTGTTCTGCTTAGGACAGGACGCGTAAAGACGCACCAAAGATGCAGAGGAATTTACCTGGCGGGCGGAAGAATATTCAGAGACAACCACAACCTTCACATATACTCCTTTATCATATTTTGTGGTTGCAAAAACCCTGAGTAAAGTTTGGTACAAACGAAAATGGAGTCCCAGAGGATCTCTCCCAGTGAGGGTGGCAAGGCTGCCTGGCCAGGACCTGAGCTCTCTGTCCTCCTCACGGCCCCACCCCACCCCCATGAGTCCCTGCTTCATCTGGCTCCAGGACAATGCTGTCTCACAAACCAGACCAGGACCACCAACTCAGAACTGAGCAGAGAAATCCCAACAGCAGCAAGTCACTGGCTTTCATGAGCTCACCCTGGGGAAGAGGCTGCTCTGGCCCAGGAAGCCCTTGCTGCACCCTGAGACCAGGCAGGCATGTAGGGGGGCATGCAAACCTGTGCCAGGGCTGTGGGAGCCTTGTGGGCCAAGCCAGCCTGGTCGTGGTGGGCTTCATGTCACACTCAGCCTCCACCCCATCCTGTGAACTCTGTGACTGTCCCCACTCTGCTGAAGCTCCCCTAGCTGTGAGCTTTCTTTTCCAGGAGGTATCGTTCCTCCATCCCTAAAGCCCACAGCAGCTCCGGGTACACATGATCTCCGTGGGTCACACGGCCAGGGCAAGAGGTTGGGACAACAACCCCTTCCTGCCTGGGTCCCACATCACAAAGCTTGGGCAGCTCTGCCACCTCCGTGGGCAACTTGACACCAGGGCATTGCCTCCATGTCACGCACAGGGATATAAGCGAAGACTTCTGCTCCTGTATTCCTCCATCTTGCTATTGGCTCAGCTTCTCCCAAAGTCCCATCCATCCGAAGGTGGGGAAAATACGCCTGCTTCACCTGAACCCATTCTAATCCTGCCGCGGTAGCCCCAAACTGGCACATGAGACACTGGGAGGAGGAAGTCCCTGCTCCTGGGCTCAGTGAGGATTCTGAAGCCTGCCAGTCTCAGCCCCTCTGATGCTGGACAGCTGCCAGGATGAACTCTAGCCTCTACCATGTGCTCCCTGGGACCCTCCCTGCATCCTCTCCCCAACTCCTCCTCCTGCCAGCGACCACCTCCTTACTTCCAGCCCTTCATTTTGGTGGAACTGATCCCACCTCAGGAGGGTCACTGATGGGTAAGACTCAACCAACCTCCCACTGACCCAATCTAGGTCAGTGGAAGCAAATCCTTGGCCTTGTGCGGGAGGTAGCACAGGAAGAGACTTTCTCCGCATGGTGTGGACTAAGGGTGTGAGAACTGGAACAGCTGCAGCCACTTTGCTGCCACAATGAGAGGGTCTGGAATTGCCAGGAACTGCTTTGAGGATAGGTAGCCCTTGGAGAAGCAGAATCCAGAGACAAGGAGAAACGTCTCAGCTGGCAGCTGTCCTTGGTGGTGACCTCTGGCTTGCTGAAGCCCAGGCTTTTTCAGTGCTGTGAACCAATATGTCCTTTTGTCTAAGTCTCTTTCATGTGTCTAAACTCAAGCCCTCAAGTGGCCCCTCCAGTGGCGAAGGCCCAGAGTGCTCACCAGGTTGACGAAGTCCTGGTAGCAGATCTGCCCATCCTCGCGGCTGTCAGCCAGTGCCAGGAGCACCTCCCTTTTGTGTGGGTCCAGGTTGGAGCTGTGGCTGTCCAGGAGGCTCCGGAACTTGCCTGTACTGATATAGCCTGTGTTCCCAGGGTCAAACTGTGGGAGAAGCGAGACAGCAAGGGCTCAGCAGGGCACCGCCCCTCACTCAGTGCAGGCAGGGGGGCCCAGACCTCCGGCACACTTGCCTCCCCTGCTCCTGTCCCCAGCCTGATGGCTGGGGAGGCCCAGGTGGTGTCCGAAGACTCCCAAGGCCTCCTGAAGGTCACCAGACCCAACCAATTGGCTCATGTGGGGAAACAGGGAGGAAGGGCAATGGGTGGAGGAGCAGGCAGAAGCTTCCAGGGCCTGGGACTGGGCAATGGCAGCAGGAAAGTTGTCAGCAGAAGACCTGCCCCACACCAGGCAAGGCAAGAGGGGCTGGGGAAATCAGGGGACTCCACAGGGGACACCGAGGGCCCTGCCAGGTGTAGGAGCACAGTCTGGTGAGTCCTACTCCTGGCTGCCAGCCCTCCCGGGACCCTTCTTGCCACATCTGGGTGACTGCCCAGAGATGCTCTCTGTGGGTTTTGTTTTAAGGTGTGTGTGGGGGATCCTGGGGGACAAACCAGGGCCTCACATGAGGAACTGTTTGGCCACTGACTTGCACTCTTGGCCCTTGTTTTTACCTCTGCTTTGAGGGGCCGGGGAGATGGCTCGGTAGAATAAGTGCTTGCCTGACAAGTGCAAGGTCTTGAAGTCAATCCCCAGTTCTGGGGGGGAAAAAAAACCCTCCACTTTGAGTCAAGGTCTTGCTGAGTTGCCCTGTGTGGGCTCAAACTCAAAGTCCTCCTGCCTCAGCCTCCCTAGTGGCTGCAATCAGAGGCACGTACTACTGCAGCTCGGCACACGTGGGCTGCTCCATCAGGAATTCCCTTTCCTACCCAGTCTCCCTGGGAAAGTGAGATTCACTCACTCCTGCCAACTACTTCCAAGAACCCTCCTCCGGGAGGCTCTCCTTAGACAGGGCCCATCCACACAGCTCCTTTGCACATGGACCTGCTCGAGGGCCCCCTCACTCTGGTCTCCAATTCCTGGCTGGACTGCAGCTCCTAGCCACCAGGTAGCACTTCATCCCTGGCCCTTAGCACCACCCCTACGTTATCAGCACTCAATCAAGATGTGTCGGGTGAACAGACAGCGATGTTTAGATGAACAGACAGGCACTAATTTTCCATGAAAATCCTCCTGGGTTCAGTTAGAAAAGGCAACCTCTTATTCATCTCTTCCACAGAAGCCCTTAACCTTTGCATGCCTTCTTCCTCGCAGAGCCCACCTGCGCCCTCCTCACATGCCCAGTAGGGAACAACTCTTGTCTTGTGGTGCAGAGGGTGCTGTCCTCAAAGGGCGCTCCCGCCCAAGATGCCAGGCCTCCCTACAGAGGATACTGGGGGCTGATTAGGTTATAAAAGGTACTGCATGAGGGGCTGGAGAGATGGCTCAGTGGTCTAAAGCACCTACTTGAAACAAGCTTGGCAAAGCACAGGGACCTCGGTTCGATCCCCAGCACCCACATGCCAGCCAGCCCCGCCCCCTGGTGGGCTGAGCTGGCCACACACACACACAATAAATAAATGTAATAAATAAAAAAATAAATAAATATTTTTAAAAAATAAAATAAAAATAAAAGGTACTGCATGAGCTGAGCAGCTGGCTCAGCAGGACAGTGTTTGCCTGGCACAGGTGAGGTCCTGGCTGTGAGACCCAGCATCACCAAATCCGTAAATAAATAGATGGTAATGGATGTGCACCTTGGAGAGGAGTGTGTGTGTGTGTGTGTGTGTGTGTGCGTGCGCGCGCATGCATGTGTAGTCCACAAGGCCAAACCCGTACCATATTTCCCCCCTTTTCTGGATTAGGTCACTCAAGACTATTTTGGGAAAGCAGATTCTATGAGCAGCACTTTGTATACAATCCAGGAGCACCAGTCTCAGCCCCAGACTATTTCAATCCTCCCAGCACTCCACCAGAAGCACAGTTCTAAGCAAATCTATTTTAAAATCCACATATTCCCCAATCTTCCATCCCAAATTTTAGGGATGACGTCTATTTGGTTTTCTTTTCTTTTTGTTCTGTTTTGTTTATTTGAGATAGGATCTTACTACATAGCCCAGGCTGGTCTCAAACTTGCCACAATCCTCCTGGCTCAGCCTCTCAAGTGTGGGATTATAGGCGTGCGCCATCACCTCCAGCTCCTGGTTTTCGGTTTACATCAGATATTTCAAGGAACTCACTTATTCCTGCTCTGTCCACACCATTACGCACAGAAAAACCTAATGTTTGCAGTATTTTGTGGAGCCAGACATTGTTCAAAGTATCTCACGTTTATCATTTCTTAGCCCCTCTACAATAGATGTAGCAGACCCTATCAGTGTCCCCATGACAGATGAGGAAATGGAAGCCGGCAAAAATCAGCATAGAGAAGTGAAGTGGCCACCACTGACCTTCAAGCACCGCCACCATCCCCCGGCCCAGGCTGCTTTGCTGCTCAGAATCAAAAGAAGCCAGTGCAGACCCAGCCCAGTGGGCTGAGGGTGGCTTCTAGGCCTCATGATCCTGCCCTAAACTGACACGTTTAAGGCAGGAAAGGGCACCAGATGGCAACAGCTCTGCCCACCTTACTATTCAGATGCAGAAAACGAACCAAAAGAAGATGGTGGTGGCTGCCAGGGCTGTGTCCACTCCTGGGCACCGCTTGGGTCCTGTGTGGGCCTTGGTGCTGAGTGAGCAGATGGGGGCAGGGCTATGGGAAGATCCCGGGTGGGCTGCACAGGGGCAGGGGGAGGAAGCCCAGGGGTTTTGCGTGTGCTGGGAGCAGAGCCGTCGGCCCCCTCTCAGGGGCCTCCTCAAGGCTGGGATCAGACACCAGACAAAGAGCCACCTGCTCTCCCTCTAGCCCTCCCCCACCAGGGCTCCCTGCTGTTGTCCTAGTGACAGGGGCTGCCCTGTGGCTCCCCCAGTCCCCAGCCCCCAGCCTGGCCTGCCCCCCACACATTACAGGCTCTATGCTGCAGAGGAGCTGGAATCAGGCCGAGCTTCCATTCTCTGCCAAAACTCTACCTTTCATGCCAGGGCCAGACAAGGCAGACAATGGGGGTCACTGCAACTCTAATAATGAGGCCTCAGGGACTTTGCAGGGTAAGAGGGGGAGGGGAGGCAAGGGTGGGGTCATCTGCCTGGGCTCAGAGCAGGCACAAGACACTTGTTGACCACCACCCATCACTGGAGAAGGCAAGGCAAGGGCAAGGGCCTGGGAGGCAGGCAGGGAGACAGTGGCAGGAGAGAGCCCATGGCTCCAGAAGGAATCTGGGGGCTTTGGAAGTGGGCAAAATCTCACTAGCTAGGGTTTGTGTAGTTGAGGGCAGTCAGCTGGAGCCGCTCATCTGCAGGGGCCTGGCTTTGCCCCATTTGTGGTGGCTGAAGCGAGCCTAGGGTGGCCATTGGCTTCCCTCTTTCAAGTGGGGGAATCAGAGGTGTGGTGGGCATAGATTCTGCCCCTTGGCCTCCTTCACATCTTAGAAGGGAAAGAGATGGCACTAGCAGCGTGCTGGTAGTTTCAGGGTGATGAGCCTACAAAAACATTTCCTTTGTTACAGATGTGTGGAAGCTCCCACAAGTGCCCTTCCCTCAGGTTCCCTGGATTCACCTGGCTCGAAGGCTGTGAGGCACTGGGGCTGGGGCTGGGCTGGGGTGCTGGTCTGTCAGGTAGCTGGAGAAAAGGGCTGTGAACATGGCAGGGGCCCAGCAGGGAGCCGGAGCTAGGAAGTGTGACCCCAGGCTATCCTAGAATCCAGCCTGGTGCTGGGGGCAGGGTGGGGGTCACATTCAGCCAGAGGTGGGGGGAGGAGGAAAAAGGCAGGAGCGTGGAGCCCTCAGCCTACATCTCCTGCCTGCTTGCCTCTGCCTTGAAAAGAGCTCCCAGAGGCCCTGCGCTTCCAGGGGCCTTCTAATCCTACCAGTGCCCAGGGCTCTGGCCCCTAATCCCCTAGGTCACCAGCTATTCCCGGTCTAAGGCCACACACGCTCACTTGCAGGCATGCAGGAACCCCTCCCACACCCATTTTCCACCCTGAGCCCCTTCCTGGAGTGCACGGCTCTCTGTTATTACCATCAGAGGCTCCTTTGCCTTCTTTGGGACAAGGGGTAGGAGGAGAATCCCACAGGGAGCCTGGGTCTCCAGCTGCTGTGACATTTGGGCAGCTCAGTCCACACTGCCCCATGTCTTCAAAGATCAAGTGGCAGGACTGCTCCCTGCTGGGAACAGGGGAGGAAGTCCCATCCATCCTGGTCCCTAAGCCCCATGTGGAGAGATTCCTGTCCAGGGTATGGTCTAAAGAACTGGAAGGGACCCGGGCGGCCAGCTTTTAGCTGTGGGACCCAAGGCTGAGTGAGGCCTTGTCTCAAAAACCAAGAGAACTAAGCTGGGTGTGGTGGCACAGGACTGCAATCCCAGTACTTGGGTGGCTGGGGCAGGAGGATGTTACAAGTCTGAGGACAGCATGGGCCACACAGTGAGTTCAAGTCCTGCCTAAACTATGGTGAGACTCTGTCTCCAAAACAAAGCAATACAAACCCTTCCAAACCCCAAAACTAAAACTACATGGATGCCTATAAATTAGCATCAGGGAGGAGGGTCCAAAGCCTGCATGCCTCCCCATTGCTGGGATGGGGTGGCTGGATTCAGGGAGACCCTAGTCCACCCTCTGGTGCATTCAGTGGCTCATTCAGCTGATCCTCAGCTGTGTCCAACCATCATGCTCATCTATGGGTGAGGAACACAGACACAGAGATCAAAAGGAGCAAGAGAAACTAGTTCAAGGTCAGAGAGTGAGTCAGTGGTCAAGATGCAAACGATCGAGGCTGCTCCTCTGCATCGCTGGCCCCAGACCTGCCCTCATTTTTCTCCATCCTGTTCAGGTGTATGATTTTCCCCATTAGAAGAGGCTTCTGTGGTCCCATAGCTTGAGAAATCCTCTTAGAGAGGCTTGATGCCTAGCACTGTAGTGAAGGCTCCAGGGTGGAAACCTGTCTGATTTTGTTCAGCCTTACATTTTCCAAAC